CGGGCAGATTGGAATACCGCCGCTCGACCACAACGGAATGATGAGAGCGGTCTGAGAGAGGCAGCAACTACCAACTACACCGCTGATGAGATTTGCAAGGACGGCATTGCAGGATTCGAAAAGCTTGAACAAGTTGGTCAAGGTGATTGCTGGACGAATGCAATATATGATGTATGGTGTATTCATAGGTACCTATGGTGCAGTGTTCAAGGCTAGGCATAAGAAGACGGGTATTCTCGTAGCTTTGAAGAAACTAAGACTTGGAGAGGGCGATGTGTGCAGAGACGGTCTGCCCAAATCGGTAGGGTCGTCATCATCATCATCGGGCTAGGTCATTCACTCGGTTATCCTTGGTCAGGTTGTAAGAGAAATTCGTATATTGAGTCAGCTTGCCAATGGCCCCAATATTGTCCGCTTATATGGCTTATGCAGCAGTGCGGCGACAGCACATAACCGGAATAGGTAAGGACCCCTTCAATGGGCTCATCATCCATCATTTTTCACAGAGGAAGTTTATACATGGTGGAGGAGTTTGCGCAGCATGACTTGAGTGGTATACTAGAGGAGCGCAAAAGGATGCTTACAGTGAGTGCTCTGCTATACTGCTCTACCAGTGTATACCAGCAATGCGTCTTCAGATACCAGAAGTGAAGTGTATGATAATACAGACCCTTCGAGCTCTAGATTATTGCCATCTCAATGGCATAGTCCATCGAGATATCAAGTGTGCTAATCTACTGGTGGATAGAAAGTAATGGAGATCGCGAGGGGAGCAGGGAGGGAGTCAATCCGAGTTATTTCAGTGGCGTATTGAAACTTGCGGATTTCGGCTTAGCACGAGAATGCACATCGGTGACAGATCCAGAAGAGGAGGATGTACTTCGAGTAGAGGAGCGGCAACGAAAGGTGACCATATACAAATATGTCTACAGTGGATGGGTGGAAGAATATAGTAGTTGTGATTAGGCGGACGCCAGTAAGGACCATGAGACAGCAGCTCCTCCTCATCATCCAGCCCTATACACGAATAAGGTCATTACTTTGTGGTATCGGCCACCAGAGCTCCTCCTTGGAAGTAATAGCTCTCTTTAATAATCGCGATGTAGCCTATGATAGGTACGTCCTATGGACCAGAGGTTGACATATGGTCTGTTGGAGCCATTCTGGCTGAACTTCTGTTGCAGAAACCTATATTCGCAGCAGATAAGGAGAAAGGAGTGTGTCTAACAATCCAGCTGCTGTTGTAGACTAACGCTGTCACAGGTTTTCAATTTGATAGTGGAGCATCTCGGTGAACCCTTTCCACCGTTCTGGGAGGACTTGCCACTGTTTAATGAATTCACAGTAACAGGATGATGCGTTACCACCTTGCCGGACTCCTACGTGCTCAGGGAAAGGCACCTCCCAGGCCCGATTCCCCAACGTCTCCTAGTGCTGAGCCCATACCGGTCGATCCAGCTAACCCGTCGCTCAAGACCTCAACTCCTTTGGTGAACTTCTTGTTGATAAGGTTTTTTGTGGGTAATGGTGTTTTCAGGATTCCATAGAATCCTCTGAGATTCATTCTATTCCTGATCCAAACACTCCTGGTATGATGCATCTAGGATCAACGGTCGGAGAAGATCAACAACAGTGCAAGCTTCTGAGGGTATTGTGCTTAGAGTCATGCGCCTAATGATCCTCTCATCTTAGCTCCTGCGTAACGTCATTACCATCGGTGGAGCGGACTTGGTATTACAGATGTTAGACAGAGAACCTTCGAAGCGAGTTAGAGTAAGTGTTTGGTCTCTGTGATCTCCATTTGAGAAACGTCTGATGTAACACTCCCTGGTAGACTCCTCAATGCCTCGAGCATCCATTCCTGACTTCGGAGCATCCTCTTGCTTGCAAACCACAGGAGGTGAAACTCAATAACAGCATATGTTGTCATGGTATGAAGTTGAAGGATGCTAAACGGCAGAGGCACATGATGATGCATAACCGTATGCAACAGCAACAACAGCAGCATGATGGTTAGCATAATCCCAACTGATATGTTCAGTAATTTAGCTTCCTATCAGGTGAACGACGAGCTAAGATGATGAAATTGCAGATGTCCGGAGCTTCTGCTGGAGAATAACATTGTTTACGTTAAGCGATATCGAATGATTTGAGTTCCTCGTCTAGTGCAACGTTAATGTAACAACTCAACATGGATATAGCGTAAACGACATGCTCGATCGATACCTAACATTCATGCTCCTCATGTGACGAACGGCACATGCTCTATGGTTACCGTATTAGCTTATCAATTCGCGAATACGCCTGGGATGAATTACTGACAGGTCACTCGCGTCACTGACGTCGCGCTACTTTTCCGCGTGCTTATCGACATAGAGTGAAGTTCTTTTCATTCGGCTGCTCATCACCAAGATTATCACAGCCATGACGTTTGATATTAGCATAATGTAGAGAAATACCTTTTGATGGGATATCACTCTCAGGCTATTGGATGTATACCTTCTTCTCAAAGAAGAATCGGTAGAAATCGAGGTAGTGGATTTCCGTTGCGAACAACTGCCACGCCACAGACCGTCTGGGGCACGACCGTATCGATCTCCAAAGCAGACTTGATAGTTCACGTTACTTAGTATAGTCGGCGAGAGCGATAGTCGCAAAGTGAACAGTCGCAGCGGTCGACAAGAGTATGAGGGAAGCGTTGAATAAGAGGGAGTTCGAAGGAGTATCACCCTTGCGGAGTGGATGGACCGGGACTATGAACAGGAATCGTGTACCGAAGGTGATACAACCTGAAATACTTCAAGGTGGATGAGGGATCATCGAATGAGGATATCACCATTAATAGTGGCTGCTTGGAGGTAGAGTGTTAGAATGCCGAACACTATGAACGTTACAATGAATAATGAGTCGCTACTGATGAACTCAGTGAGAACCCAGTTGAGCATGGGCGAGACGGGGCTTCTGCGATGTACATCCTTTCTACTCAATACCACGTCACATGTCATACCCGTTCTTTCTTGCCAACATAAACAGCACCACGTGTAGGAGCCATGAAATGGACAGAACCAATGAAACTATGCCGAGGGCCATCTTGCCAAAGCGTAGGAGCTCGCCGTCCCCTCCATTTCGCCGTGTCAATGCATCTGCATGATGGAACCTAGGCATGGATGAAAGGACACAATATCGAGGCATATGGACATATCACGCATCCTCGAGCATGTGCACATCGGCTTTGAATTGGTTGAAGTCACGCTTGAGAGACGCCTCCCTCCGCTTCTTTCTGAACCCTCCTGAATGGTCCGTCCCACAGCAATAGCCGACATACACTCAACTAAGAGTCTCCAATCTAGCCTCGTCTTGTTTGAGCTTATCTCCTTTGGCTTGCAGACTTTTCGCTGCTTTTGTAAGCACTTCTCGATGGTTGCTGTGAACAAACATGAACCGTATAGGATCTCGCACCGACTCGACCTACTTGTACTCGGCCTCACGTGAATCCGATGACGGAGGTTTTCTAATGAAGCCTACCATCAGTTTGAATGGTATAGCTGCTATTCCACAGCCTATCGGCACAACATCGCCAGCTACAGTCCACTTCAATGCACTCACCGCCAAAGATGGCGAAAAGAAACCAACCAAGGAAACTCATGATTGTTATGATATAAGTGTGGAAAGCAACTGATAGGCAGGTTAATATCACTTCGTATAGCGTTCTCAGCTGGTAGTACTCCTAACCCTAGCGGTTCTATCAGGATTGCCATTGCATACTTCGAAAGCGGATTTGTCAGTCGACTGCTGCCCTACAGCACTGCAAGGGATTTTAGCCTTCGAGAAGAGGAGATAAGTTATGCCTATGATGGATATCTAACCCGACTGATACGACACTTGTACAGGAGGAGGGAACTACCAATCCCAAAGCGAGGATGGCTCCTCGGAACACTACTGCTCGGATCCTCTGCCTGAGGTTCATGCTTCCAGAATCTTCCATCTGAAGACTGCGAGTGGCTGCAATGGAGTATCATCGATATTATCGACTTCGTATGAGAGCATAATCAACGGATTGACAATGAAGGTGAAGATCATTATCAGTATGTATGCGGTGGACCATACTATCTCCATATTCAGACCTGCCAGAGAGGGAAACTCCTACT